AAATGTTTTGACCCCTAAAAATTCATAAACCCTCAAAACAAACCCTAATACAACATAGTTAACCTAAACAAAAATGATATAAGGAAAAAATAATTTTGAAAGAGTGGCATTTTTGAAAAGTGACATTTCTAAAAAAATTTCAAAATTCAACTGTTATCATTTATATTTTAAGTTATTTTTCCAGATTTGGAAAAAAAAACACCAAAATTTTAACTACATTATGCCATTCATCAAAATTTAGCTAGATTCCGATGTTATTGATTAAACTCTAAAACTACCCTCAAGCATTTCGTTGACCTTACCCGACCCATCGTGCTTAGTTTTATGATTCGACACAACGGAAAAAGATAGAGGTACGTGCCTTGTCACTTGTCATCAGAAAGACATGCACCATAATTGAAAACCTAAAATTCTGTTACAATTCATGAACCATAATAAGAGCATTACGGTTATCTTTTAATTTCATGTTAAATATTAACTGTTTCATGTCTTGAAAACCCGAAGTTTGAGTACGATTACTTTCATGTCATAATGTTTTTGTTGTTAAACTAAATCTTTATTCATTTGTTTCTTAAATATCTTACTATAAAGTTAAACATCTCTACTTTTAATGTTCATAAATCTTTCTTTCACGTAAAAAAAAAAATGATTTCTTTCGTTCTTTTTCGACGGCAAAATATTATATATTTTGTTGCACTAATCCCTATATGATTAGGTCCATTCGGTAACTAGATCAGTTGAGTAAGCATTGTTAGACACCTATTCTGAATTGATTGTTGGATAATAAATTCAACACATGGGATGGCTCAAGGCATGTGACGTAGATTCGTCGCTACACACATGGTCTCACCGTTTTCCTATTAAATGTCTTACCTCAAAGCTTAAATCTACAGAAAACCAGTTCAATCACATTTTGTCTTTGGCAAAACAGAAAAACAAAATGGAATCACATATCGTTTGTAGCGCACAAAAACCACACGTAGTTTGCGTGCCTTACCCAGCTCAGGGACACATCAACCCGATGCTGAAAGTGGCTAAACTCCTTCACGTCAAAGGCTTCCACGTAACCTTCGTCAACACCGTCTACAACCATAACCGTCTACTCCGTTCCCGTGGACCCCACGCCCTCGACGGGCTTCCTTCCTTCCGGTTTGAAGCCATTCCTGACGGTCTACCAGACACCGACGTGGAAACCACGCAGGACATCCCCACCCTTTGTGAGTCCACTATGAGGAACTGTCTAGGGTCGTTCAAGGAGCTTCTCCGGCGGCTTAACACCGGAGATGACGTTCCTCCGGTGAGTTGTATCTTATCCGATGGTTGTATGAGCTTCATTCTTGATACTGCGGAGGAGCTTGGAGTCCCGAAGGTTCTTTTTTGGACCACTAGTGCTTGTGGCTTCATGGCTTATCTACACTTTTATCTCTTCATCGAAAAAGGTTTATGTCCATTAAAAGGTACGTGTTCTTATTGAATAGTGAAATAACAATTTCTAGGTGGGAAAAAAAAAAAAAGGTTTTAAACATCAATTTCTAAGAAAAGGAGAATATTTAGATGCACCAGGGGAAAAACGAAAAGATAATTAACAGATAATAAGTTATCAAAAATAAATAAATAACATGACCAACTAGAGTAGCCTTTTTGTGTTTACTGGAAAACAGATTTGATGAAGATGAGATCTACAAAAAGGTAGGTGCATAAAAATGGAAATATGATTACGACAACAACAACAATAATGATATGACAAAACAAGAAAGAAATAAATGGGTAGAAATCCAAAGAAAACCCTTAAAGCTAAATGCAATCAGGCCAACATCACTGTCTAGGCCAGTTTGTTTGCCAATAACTTTTATCTCTGAAACTACACTATATATCAATTATTTTCAAGAAAAAAAAACTATACTATCAATCAAAATGCTTCATATTTTGAACGTTAAATTAAAAATTTTTAAAATAATTTCACAAGTGTGATGGATCTTGCAGATGTGAGCTGGTTAACGAAGGAACACTTGGATACGGTTATAGATTGGATCCCATCGATGAGGAATCTAAAATTAAAAGACATTCCTAGCTTCATCCGTACCACTAATCCCAACGACATAATGCTCAATTTCATTGTCCACGAGACTAGTCGAGCCAAACGCGCCTCTGCTATCATTCTCAACACGTTTGATGACCTCGAACATGACATCTTCCAGTCTATGCAATCCATTTTACCACCGGTTTATTCCATTGGACCACTTCATCTCTTAACGAACCGGGAGATTGAAGAAGGTAGCGAAACTGGAAGGATGGGATCAAATCTGTGGAGAGAGGAGATAGAGTGTTTGGATTGGCTCAATACAGAATCTCGAAACAGCGTCGTTTACGTTAACTTCGGGAGCATAACGACAATGACTGTGAAACAGCTTGTGGAGTTTGCTTGGGGTTTGGCCGCAACAAAGAAAGAGTTTTTATGGGTTATTCGGCCCGATTTAGTAGCTGGAAAAGAGGCGATGGTTCCACCGGACTTTTTAGCCGAGACGGCAAACCGAAGTATGCTCGGGAATTGGTGTCCTCAAGAGAAAGTTCTTTCTCATCCAGCGGTCGGAGGGTTCTTAACGCACAGTGGATGGAACTCGACGCTTGAGAGTCTCTCTGGTGGAGTTCCGATGGTGTGTTGGCCGTTCTTTGCAGAACAACAAACGAATTGTAAGTTCACTTGTGATGAATGGGAGGTTGGGATGGAGATCGGCGGAGATGTGAAAAGGGAGGAGGTTGAGGCGGTGGTTAGAGAGCTTATGGACGGAGAGAAAGGAAAGAAAATGAGAGAGAAGGCGGAAGAGTGGCAACGCTTGGCGGAGAAAGTGACGGAGTATCCGTGTGGTTCGTCGTTTGTGAATTTTGAGACGGTTATTAATAAGGTTCTCATAGGACATACCACAAACCGGTCTTTATTACA